TGTTAGTCAGCGTGATTGTCTTGGCCGTCAGGCAGCCGAAAGGTGAGGGACACCGGCGTACCTATTATAGTTTAGCCAGAAGCAGGTGCGAGGTCAAGCCTCGGGGGCTGGCAACTGAACGAGGAAGGGGACAGCATTTGTTGGCCGTCCACCACATGCTTAACACTTGCTGACAGCGGTACTACCATTTTTAAAACAGATATAGACAGCAGGATTTTTTGGGTCCAATAGCCTTCTCGACGACCTCTTAGCTGCAGTCCGTCTTTGCATGATTCAGATAACAAGGGGAAGCATACAGCAGTTCGAATTTTCACAGAATGCCAATGCATAACAGCAAAGGTTAGGGTTCACTGCAAATAGTAATCAAAAGAAAGTCACTACCCTAGACTAGCATATAGGAAAGGAAAGGAGGAGTTAACACGAATCACGGGATAAAACCCGTTATTATTTTCTTACCCTTTAAAGGTGAGCATATTTCGAACACAATCAACGCAGATGTGTGTTTCACACTTTGGCACTAGGTGTTCGTGCAGTTTAAGAGCGCAGCACATAAACTGTGTCCTGATGCACGGGGAATGCCGCGCCCGTCTACTGGCTTCCGGGATTTCATACAGACGCGTTCACGCATCCCCTGTTTTGTGTGTATCATGAGAAAGATTCTATCTGTGTCTCTACTTGACACACAGGTTTCGGCAACCTCCTGGATGCAGGCATCTCCCAACGTACTGCACTATACCCAAATGATGGCCCGTTTTGAAGAAGAGGTGCGTAAGCAACGTCTGGACGAGGTCTTTCAAAAGCAGTTTCCTGAGCACAGCAGCCTCATGTCGGAGAGCCGAACAGAGCAGGAGATGCGTAATCTGGATAGGGGCATAATTCGGGCTCTCAGTCTCACCACCAACGCTAACGAAAACGAGGTTTGTCTTCTCTCTCTGAGAGAAATGTATTTACCTACCTCATAGCTTAGATCAATTTGTGATTTTCCTCAGGCAGAATGTATACAACGCGCAATTTGGAATCCTTTAATTAAAGTGTAATGGCCGTTCGGGTCATCATTATTCGCCAACTTCGAAAGTTTTTTGCAAAGCCGAAAGAAACTCTTTTTTTAAACATACAAATTGAAGACGAAATATTTGGCCTATAAAGGATATAATGTGATCCACGTCCATTTTAAAATTGTATGAGGACCATGTGATCTCTTCTCCATAGCGTAGGGATAAGCGTGATTTTCCTTGGACAGAAAGTATGCAGCTCTTAATCTTGAAACCCTGAATACAAGCTTAACCGCCGGTAACGTTAAACACTATTCAGCAATTTAGAAAATATTTTTTTAACCACAAGACAAATTCTGCAAGTATAACGCTTGAGGAAGGCACATTTTTCTTCCAAACGAGTACAAAATGTGATTTTTTATGTGCATGTGGGCATTTTTTGCTGATGTTTTTTGCAGGCGCTCGTTTAAAAGACGGGATCCCAGCACGACTGAAATATCTTGACATTATGCTGCCGATTATCCATATTAGAATCCTACTTAAATAGGTTGTGTAAATCAATTTCCTAAAGGTAATACCATGCCCTTTTTCGTTTTGTATAACCGCCTGCCTATTTCGTAGTAGTAGTATTTCGAATACAATTTTCCCAAGCTCGGTTGACAGTTCATGGTTTAGGGCAGGGGTTGGCAACCTTTTTAACTCAGAGAGCC